CCAAGGATGTCCAGCGGCTCCAGAGAGAAGCCATGAAAAGGTAAGATGCTCCGACCCCACGCAGCTCTGGTGGCATCAGGGGGTGAGGCGGAGGGAGCTGCAGCCCGTGGGCAGCAGGCAGGGAAGGGAGACGGGGCTGGATGGTCCCGATTCTCCCTCCCTGCTGTCCCGGGGCTGAGTCCATTTGATCTGGGGGCTCCCAGTCTCTCCCAGTGAGCAATTAGCAGCAGGAGGCTGCAGGGGCTCGTCTGGGGCTGCCCCAAACCGGGAGGGAGCATTTGAGGCTCTCAAACTGGGCCTGCAGCCTTGTCCCATGCTTCCAGCAAACCTCCCCTTTGTCCCGCCAGGTCCCGGAGGAAGAAGAAGTGGGACGTGGTGGAGCACCGAGTGTGGGCTGGAGGCACCGAGTCCGAAATGTTCAACAAGCTGGAGAGCATCGCCTTATCCCCGTCCCCACAGACCCCGGTGCTGGGCTGTCACATCAGCAGGGCCCTGGAGCCCGCCGTGGCCAAGGGGGAGGTGAGGACACGGCTCTGTGCTGCTGAGCTCTCGGCTTTGCTTGTCTTCTCCAAAACAGCAACCCCAAGTTCAGCCCTTCTTAGATGCTGGAGACCTAGTAGGCTCTTGGAGCCATGCGGCAAACTCATGGGCTCTTTATCTGCATGCCATCAAGAAAACCCAACAACCCTGAATTTAACAGGCTTCCGCCGGGAGCTCTCCTGTATTGGGACCAGGCCCGGGACCCCAGTGCTCCCCTAGCATCCCTCTGTGTTTCCTTCCACCAGTTTCTGACCAGCAGAGTGAACTGGGTGGTGCAGAGCTCGGCCGTCGACTACCTGCACCTCATGCTGGTCGCCATGAAGTGGCTCTTCGAGGAGTTCGACATCAACGGGCGCTTCTGCATCAGCATCCACGACGAGGTGCGCTACCTGGTCCAGCAGCAGGATCGCTACCGGGCAGCCCTGGCCCTGCAGATCACCAACCTCCTCACGCGGTGAGATGTGACGGCTGCGGTGTCTCCTGGGAACGAGCGCCAGCGCCTCTGGGGTGGGATGGGGCAAGCCCAAGGGACTGGGGTGACAACAAAGGGGTTAGCTTTGCCCACAGCAAGCTGGCGCAGAGCGGTTTTCTTCTGCTCAAGGGAAGTTGGCAGCGCTGGGGGTTGCAGTTCCTTCACGCGTGACTCGGGTGGCTATAAATGTTGCTCGGCTTCAATTTCCAGAGGTAATCTGCTGGCAAGGGGGGGATAGCGTCAGCTTTTGGCTCCTGCAGGGACGGGGCCAATCGTTCCGCTCCGCTGGGATGCGAGCGCATTGCCTCCTGCTCCCTTCAGCTCTGCGGCCGTCGCGTAGCAGCAGCCCTTGGGCTTGATTGAGCAGCCGGGAGCGTGAAACTGTCCCCATCCCTCATCTCCCCCCTGCCTTCAGGGGACAGCAAGGGACACAGCTTGTTGTCTCTGCTGCGAGCACCAGCACTGTTGCCCCTTCCGCAGCGTGGGGCGTTCCTGCGGCCTCCCTGCCCCGTGCAAGGTTAAGCTCAGCCTGGAAAGCTCCTGGACCTCAAAGGGCTCCCTTCAATCCGGCTCCGGTACAGCCAGCTTTGCCAAATCCCCTTCCCGGCGCTGTGGGGTATATAGTTACACAGGAGCAGGCCAAAGCTGAGCTGTTTTCTCCTGCACTGAGGCAGGGAGCCAGCAAACAGCCTTTCTGTGCCGGTGTGGCAGGCACAGCGGGGGCAGACGCCCTGACGTTCGTGCCTTTGTGCCGGCTCCTGCGAGCACAGAGCTTCCTGCTGGGAAAATCCAGCATCTGCTCTGCCTGGGAGGATTAGCCAGCAGCAAAGGGCTGGGTTCTTCCTTTCTTCCGAGGAGGCTCAATGTACCGTCGCTCTGTTCCTCCCACCTCCACTTTAGCAATACTTGACCCTCCTGCTACCCCGTACTTAAAAAGCACCTTCTCTTCCAGCTGCTGAGTGACGGGTGTAAAGTACCCACGATGTTGGCGATGGCTGGCCAATGTTTTGTGATGCTGTGGCTGATGGAAGCCAGGTGTGACAAGGCTAAGGGTGATGTGCAGCACTGTCCCACCTGGTCTCTTGTTTTTCTAGGTGCATGTTTGCCTACAAACTGGGCCTCCAGGATCTGCCACAGTCGGTGGCTTTCTTCAGCGCAGTGGACGTTGACCAGTGCTTAAGGAAAGAGGTGACCATGAACTGTGCAACGCCGTCAAATCCAACTGGGATGGAGAAGAAGTACGGCATCCCTCAAGGTGAGCGGTGTCCATGCAGGCTAACCCCACCTGTAATCCCCACTGCGCAAGCCTCCCCAGCTTAGGCAGAGCACTTGGCCTAAGCAGTCATTCCCCGAGGGCTCCTCTGTCCGCCAGAGGCACCTCGTGAGCCCCTTGCTTCCCAACCCATCGGCTGCCTTGCAGGGCAACCGTCACCCTGGTGCCAGCCCCTCTGTACCTCTCTTTCCTTTCTCAATCCCTGAGTAGTTTGTGCTGCGGCTGCCAAGTATTTCTGACAGTGATGAGCCGGGCTTGGCTCCGTTATCCCACGCACACGTTTGCTGTTTCCCTCAAAGAGAGAGGAGCCCTCCTGTGCACGTTTAACACAGCCCAAGATTGAATTGTTCCTTCTCTGAAATGAGGCCTCAACAACCTTGTATATTTTGCCCTCCAGACCCAAACTTTTCCAGCCTTCAGTGCTTTGTCTCCTTTCCCACTCCGCCTTAGCCCAGCACAGCTCTGTTCAGAGAACTGCCTTGGCATTGCTGTGGTCTTCCCCAACACTCCCAAGGCCTACAGTCATCTCTGACTGCACTCAACATAGCCCTTTAACTGCTGCAAGCAAACATTTAACTTGGCTGGGAGCTGCTTTAAACAGCTCCTCCTCGCTGTGTGGCAGCGTTTTCCCAGATAAGAAGAACCTGCCCTCAGATTTGTTCTCCAGTTGTTGAATACATCAGACGCTGCCCTCTTAGGTAACCTTTATTAGGAGTCTTACAGGCAAAGGGTGCTTTTAGAAACAGGATTTGTGTTCTTTGGGCAAGAAGGGCACGTCTGTTCTCACCCAGAACAAGGCAAATTAAACAAGTGCATCGCATCAGGGTCAGCAAAAACGTAACAGCAAAACCAGCCCGGCCAGAGGAAGCTGTCACCTCTCTGCTGCTCAGGAGCTGCATGCAGCAGCAAGCTTCAACGCCGAGGCGGAACAGCTCGTGTTTCCAGCTTCCTACTGGTGATGGTTCCTGCATTCACACCACCACACAAAACAGAAGTTTGAATAAATTTAGGGTTTTTTGTGCTACATGCTCTGAACTAAAGCAAATCATGACTGTCACTCTCTTATGTTACACAGTCTCTGAGTGTACTGCAGAATGCAGGGAACTGATTGTCCCATTGTCTTCCAGGAGAAGCACTGGATATATATCAGCTAATTGAAATAACCAGGGGTTCGCTGGAGAAGAAGTGATGACGCTAAAGTGCCAGAATGACAATTGTCCAGAGAGCATGCCAGAGCCTGGCTATCCTTGCAGAAGGAGATCTTTTGGCAGGGACTGATCCTGGTCACTCTGTTGCCTTTTCGCTGTAAGAAGGGATGTTGCTGGGAAGAAGATTTTGATAGCAGCATTCAAATAGCAGAGGTGCTTCCGAGGGCAGCGGCCAGCTGCGAAACCTCAGACAGTGGCCCGAGTCACTGCTTGCGCGCCCATGGGCACAAAGGGAGAAGTCGTAAGTATTTGGCAAGAGAAACAACAAACCATCGTCTCCATACACACAGTTCTCCAAGACCAAGGCGAGTCTGCCACAGAATGGGCACTGTGGGAGGAGGCAGCAGCGGCAACCCCAGCTTTATTTTTTTCGCCGTCTCTTCTTTTTGGGTTCTTGATTCTCATCTGTCTGCTCTGCTGTGCTGCTCTGCAGAGGGGAGGGAGAGAGTAGCAGTACAGAGTGTGATTGTTTTTGTGTGATTAGTCTAAGGAATGTTTACCTAAAGCAAGAAACCAGATGTGCAGAACAGGATTTAGCTCTTTTTCCTCCCTAACAAAATGACCTGAATATGGGACTCCTCTCACCCACTGAGACTTTCCCTGTGGACCCCCCCTAATTCATGCTGGAGCTTAGACCACAGGTTATTAATGGCACAGGACAGGGACTGTTTTTGTGCTGGGTTTTGGCTTGTTAAACACTCAGGAAAATATGGACAGAAGCACCAATAAAACCCTGGACAATCAGCAAAGTAAATTGTTTATTTTTTTATCCAGCACAGGTTGTGCTACCTTCACCAGCACTATCTCGTAGAGGAGACGGGTCTGAGGAAAATGATGCCTTGCAGAGTTTGCCCTGCCAGCTGTTTATCTACAAAAGTTAACCTGGATGCAAAACCACTTTGCATCATGCTGCAACGGTCTGATCCTGGCCAGCCAGTAGGTCCTCAGAGGTAACACTGATAGACCTCTCTGCTTGCTGAGACAAACAACAAGGCCTTAAGAGCAGTCTCACTTCTGTAAGACCAGAGATACAGACAATTGGTGCATGGAAATAAAGGCCACTCAAGGCAGAGGGCTGGAGTGTAGGGGATGGTAGCCAGACTAACTGTTCACTCCTTCATCTCAGCTTAGCATTAAAGTGAGAGCTAACCCAGGGAAGACAAACTGTCCTAATTTCACATATACCTGCACAGCTCACAAATACAGTTGACCTCAGAAGAGGGGGAAACCTATTGGTAAAAGCAGCTAAATGAGTTCGGACCTGGTCCTTGTCTGGCTCATTTTCAGCATCCTCTGCGTTATGTTCCTGCAACGCGCTGTCTAGCATGGATGCGTTGATGCGGAAGTCCCGGGAGGTGCTTAGCTTCATATATTGCATCAAGTTCACCTGCAGCAACCAAGGTAAAACCAGGGGGAGAAGACATTATGCCATTAGCATCTTAGTTTAGTTTTCTACCTTGCCTAGTTCTTTGCACAGCACTGGGACTGAGTCCATCACAGTAATAATGCAGGATTGAAGCAAAAGGTAGGTGAAAAAGCACCTGCCCCCCATGCAATCCAGTGGCCCATTTATGTTTTCCTAAAAGCCAAGTGATTACCAGTTACTCTCACACTCACGTAGTAGCTTGTCATGGTACATTTCTGCTTATGAAACAGACTCGGGGAGAGGAGTGAGGAAAGCTGGCATTAGGTGTGTAAGTTTCTGCTCAACCAGAAGCCATATAATGTTAGGTCACAGGCAGTACTGCCATTGACACCTGCTGGTATCGGTGTGACAGCAATACAGTAGCGTTGGGCCAGAAGCTTGGGCAAAAGCTGAAAGACATGCAAGGTCCTTACACCTTCCTAATTTGAGCATTAATAGAGAATTTGAAAGGTGGACCAGCAGTAGTCCTCCACCATGCTATTGATCCCACTGTTCCACTGAGTTCAGGTCACAGAAGAGCTCTGCTTTACATTACCTTTGATTTCTTGGAGAGATGGATAAGGAACTTCTCATACTGCTCTATTGAAAAAATCAGGTTTGGGATTGGCTTGGTCTCCCGAAGCACCTTAGCCTGAAATGCAGAAAGGAATGTGATAGGTCGGATTTGGAAGTGAACAATGACGCTGTAGCATGATGTGAGGACCACAACACTCCCAGTTTAGAAAAGTGTCTTCAGTAGCCTTGCTCCATACCAGTCCTGCCGCAGCAAGCCTTATCAGCTTTGTTACTGGTTTTAAATTGACTCCCACGAAGGTTCTGCAGTGGGGCTCTCCTGTGTATTGTTTTGTACTCTGCCTGCAGTCCACAGCCCTGACATGCCTGACAGCCATCAGAGCAAAAATTCCTCTGCAAAGGCATCACAAGCATGCGCCTTCCAGGCACTGAGCACACTGTTGTTTTACCACATTTTTGCGTTGTTTATTTACCACCACTGATGTTTGTTCCCCATGGTGACAGATGGTAAAAGGACATGCAGTATTTCAGCTCATTGCCGTACACTCGGGGAACAGCTAGGAAGATCATGCTTGTGACTTTTAAACCCTTAACATCACAGGAAAGTCTAGGACAACTGACGAGACAGAGGAAATGCTGGCTGGGAGCACAAAGAAAAGACATAAAAGACCAGGAACCTGCCAGCCTGCTCACTTGCTCCCAACCAAATAATCCAGTCATTCTCAATTGCCTTACTTTAGTGGAATCCACTACTTTATGTTTAAATGTACTGATAAATTAAGAAACACTTAAAGAGAGTGCAGTATTGGTTCCAATAAAGTAGCCCATTTTTGTAATTTCATAGCTTACCCCAAATGGTAAAATAAACACAAGACACACTATACAGACTTGACCTTTGTTTAGGCTGCATTTAGTGAAGGTGGCTTTTTCGTGTTGGTTTTTTTGGTTGTTTTTTTATTTATTTGTTTGGGTTTTTTTAGTCTTTTCTCTGAAGTTAATGTAGATTAAGTTTGATTTTTACTTAAAGGCCCAAATGACAATTTGTCACTGGTGATCTATAAGAAGCCACCAGGTAACACAAGCCTTGAGGTATGATCCCAAGTTCAAATACAGCCCCATGTTCTAATAGTGAGTCAATCTTACCATGACTGTGGAGATTGCAGCAGCTTCATCCTCTTTCTTCTTCTTTTTCTTCTCTTCTGCAAAGCTTAAGCTCTCACTGTGGATGTTCTGAAGGAGGATGCCAAAAGATGTGGCATTAGAGGGTAAGCAGGGAAGAAAGGCCAGCCAATTTTGTTCCCCATGGTGACAGAGCGGTAAAAGGACTGCTGCTCTGGCCAGCTAACAGCATTACCAGCTAGATGACAGAAAGGTAGTGATACAAGAAGGATGGAATTGGGGGTAATCTCAAAAAAAGAAGGAAAGAAAAATTAATTTCATAATTTATACATTCAGAAATATATATGTGTGAGAAATCCCCAGGAGTGGTAGCTCTGCACACCACTACACCTTCCCCAATATGCCATGTCTGTTGTACAATTCCTGTGGTCCTCCCTCAAGCGCTCAATTCCTCTCCAAGCAGGTAAATCCCATCTTTGGCACTGCAGTCTTTGGCACCCACATTACTTTACGCTGTGATGACTGCAGTGTTGTTGACCTTTATTTGACCTTGTGGTTAACATCAGTATTGATCTCATCCAAAAAACCCCACATGAACAGAGGGGGGGGGGAAAAAAACCCCAACTAAAAATCAGCTCCCCAAACACTCTTCCTTCCCTGCTCAAGCAGAAATCAGCATGCTCGGTCCCAATGGTGCTGAAATATCTTATACTATTATTTGACATAGTAAAGCTTGAACTATAAGAAACTCATGTCATGTCAAGAAGATTAATAATCCCCAAAGGTGTCCATGTACTGCAGCTGATACACCACTCAGCATCAGATAGACTGACTGTGATTTTGCTGGTTAATTTAGGCCTTACCTGTACATAAGTAATGAATGAGTAACACTGTGGGGTCAAATGGGAACCTGAGAGCTTCACCTGCAAAGAAGTAGAGAGGTTGGTGTTACTCCTAACTCAAGGCAATGAGCCATTTCCTTCAGTAATTCGCTCAGACTCACCAGCTTTTCTAGCCTTCCTGGAATTGTACTCGAGGTGCTGCGGCAAGCTTGGATATACTGCAAGGAAAACATGAGAGAGTTTCTTCTAGGTATGCTGCTCCCATCCTGCAACCTGTACTTACAGGCAGGGCTCAAAGCAGCTCATCCAATGGCACAGTAGGGAGGGCAGGATTTGCAAGAACTATCCTCCCCAGTGGCTTGCTATATCCCAAATGCCATGTCTGCATTCCAGAGCTGTGAAAGAGCTCTGGGGTATTCACCACCTTGTCTCAAACTAGCTCCACTGGCCTGTTTTCACGGCCCAGTTCCCCCAGGTCCGATGCTTCAAGCCTTAAATGGGAATGAGTGGCAAGGGCCGGATTGCTGAGCACTGTGAGAATACCGCTAGTGCCGTTCATTGTGGCACACAGCTGCGTACAGAGGAACCTACAAGATACACTGGGAAGAACCACTCCAAGCCATACATGGCCAAATTCAGTTGGAGAGAAGCTTTCCTTTATCTCCGCTGGTACAACTATCACTGCTCAGAAAGGTCATGAAATTGACGGCGTGAAAGCCAACAGAATAAGGACTCAACTCCTGCAAGAGATGAACAGCCCAGTCCTGAGTGTAGCCGCTGCCAGGGGTCACTGTGAGCTTGCTGTAGCAGAGGGGAAAAAGTTTTTAGATCCTAGCTAGCCCACTGTCAGCAGAGCAGCACTCACATGTTTGACGAGGGAGGTGAGAATTGCATATGTCTTGCTGAGGCTTCTCAGCAGCGTGTCCACACAGCTCCCTGCAGGGAGTGCTGTCTGTACCAGCTCATGATAAACTGTCAGCAGAGTTCCCAGCTGCAGAATTACACCTTTCTCCAGAGCCTGGGTTTGGTTTGATGCCTGAGAAGAGTCTTCTAGAAGAAAGAGATGAATACCAGTGGATGT